AGGGACACTGCACAGACACTGTATTCCCACCCTGGCCCTGGCCCTGAGCTCCCAGGGATCCTTCGCTTTTAGGTGATGTCAGGACACCAGATGGTGTTTGGGGAGCGGCTCTGCACCTCTTCTTATCACAGGAAGAAATCTTGCAATGGCATGTCCACCCCACCCAGCCCTGACACCCTCCTGCCTACCCTCATGTGTCACCCTTCTCCCTATAGATGTGTCACCCTGCTCCTTACACCTGTGTCACCCCTTTCACTACAGCTGTATCACCCTACCATGACAGATGTGTCACCCTTCCTCCCACAGCCCCTACCCTGCTCCCTACAGATGTGTCACCCTGTTCCCTAAAAATGTGTCACCCTCCTCCCTACAGCTGTGTCACCCTCATCCTTATAGTTGTGTCACCCTGCTCCCTATAGATATGTCACCTACTCCCTATAGATGTGTCACCCTGCTCCCTATAGATATGTCACCTACTCCCTATAGTTGTGTCACCCTGCTCCCTATAGATGTGTCACCTACTCCCTATAGATGTGTCACCCCGCTCCTTACAGCCACATCACCCTTTTCCCTATAGATGTGTCACCTGCTCCCTACAGTTGTGTCACCCTTTTCCCCACAGTCCATAGCCTGCTTTCTCCAGCTGTGTCACCTGCTCCCTGCAGCTCTGTCACCCTCTTCCCACGGTTTCCCTGCTTCCCACAGCTGTGTCACCCCGCTTTGACAGACCAACCTTTGTTTGGACAAACTGCTGCAGCCCTGTGATTTATCGTGTCCCTGGTGGCCAGACACTAATGTCTTAAACACAGTGTTTTAAGGAGATAAGGGCTAAGGCCAACAAGAAGCAGATCCTGAGGAGATGAGGTAATTTTTTTGTTGTTGTCATGCCAACTCCCTCCCTTCCCATGATGATGACACCACACCGGCATCACAAAACAAGGACCAGAAGAGGGTCAAACAGGGACCAAAAGAGGGTCAAACACGGCCAAACATCATCACAGCATTGGAAGGGGCTCCATAAACCATCAAAGACCCCCAAAGCATCCCCAGACTCATTTCCACAGCGTCACATCGGACAGTGGAAAACTCCTCCCCAGAGGAGGTGTCAGGGCATTCCCACGTAAGCATGAATGTGTTGAACCCATGGAACTCTTTGCTGCTCCCTGCACCCATGTCACCCTGCTCTGTACATCCATGTCACCCTGCTCCCTATGGCAGTGCCACTCTGCCCCCTACAACCCACCACAGGCTCATGGCTGCCCTCCTCCGGGATATTTTTCTACTGGGAGGTGCAGCCTGATGGCACTGGAAGGACAGGAGGCTCCTGCCAACCCCCAAAATTCATCCCACCCTGACCCAGCTCCATGTCCTGGGTGTGGGAGGTCCTGAACCCAGTGCTGAACTGAACCCCAGGAGCTGCTCCAGGGCTGTGCAGACATCCAAGAAAAGACTGGGACATGCAAGGACCCCTTCCCTGGCTGGGAATCGAACCCAGGCCGTGGCAGTGAGAGTGCCAAATCCTGACCACTAGACCACCAGGGATGGGTGGTGGCCAACAGCGATGAGTGACCACCACCAGGGATGAGTTACCACCACCAGAGATGAGTGACCACCACCAGGAATGAGTTACCAGCACCAGGGATGAGTTACCAGCACCAGGATGATCTGCTGGTAGCACCAAGCAAGCCCTGAAGGGACAAGGACACTTGGTCCCACCTCTGCAGGCCTGGGAAGCAGGAGGTGGTTGTGCTGGGACTGATCACCACCAAAGGCAGGTTTGGGGAAGGCAATGGTGGCAAATGGTTCAAGAAAAGAGGTAGCATCCTCTGGGGGTTCACCAGGGGAGGTTCAGTCCTGCTACTGCTGGATCATGGACTCCCTTGGGGCTGCTCTACGTGGCCAGGCTCGTGTGACACACACACTGGGCACGGGTGATCCAGAACCACGTTCACAACAATCCTGACTCCCAGTGCTTCCCCAAAGTCACCTCGGGAGGAGAACAATGTGTAGGTGCAGACTGACTGTCAGCAGAGCCTTCCCTGGGTGAGGGAAACAGGTCTGAGCCCTGGCACTGATCTGGCAGTGTGTCTGGAGTCCCCATTCCTGCTGGGTTTGCAGTAACAGTGCTGGCAGCTTGTTTTTCCAGAAGAAAGCAGCAGGCTGGGACCATCTTTTGGTGCATCATCAGGAGCTGTGAAGAGCAGGTGATCAGTAGGTGATCCTCGTTTCCGGTGAGTCCTTGGAGGGAGCAGGGACTTCTGCCTTCCTTTACCCCACAGAAGGAAAACAAAGATGTTTCCTGATGAACAGGAGGATGGGAGGGATGGGAAATGGCCCCCCAGCTCCCCAGGGATTTGGTACCAGCATGGGCAGCAAAGAGGGCAGTGCAGAGCCCCAGATCCCTGCCCAGGACAAGGAGCCCAAGGGAGAGCCCCGGGCTCAAGGTGACAGTAAAATCATCACCTGTCCCTGTCCCCCGGGCTGCGTGCAGGGAGGAGACCCCCAGAGGGGGGCACGGGGGGTTTTCCAGTGGGGATATCCCTTGGGCAGGGCTCCTCAGCAGGTGGATGAAGTGGAGGTGAGCGGAAAGGCTCCGGGAACGCTTCCCGAGCAGGACGGCAGAGGGCCCGGTGCTCCTCGGATGCTCGTGTGTGGTTGGGAGGGGAAGTAAAAGGACAGGGAGAAAAATCCCTCCTGGTTTTCACAGAGTGAGGAAACCTCCCCTGTGCCTTGCCTTGTCCCGTGACGCTCCCAAAAAAACGGCCAGGTCCGGCATCTTTCCAAGGCTCGGGCATCTCCGCTGCGAGGGTCAGGGCTGAAGAATGCACCTCCAAAAAAACCCCTGCACGGGGCAAACCCATCCCCCCCAACCCCGAGTGAGGGACCCAGGGATTGTGCCACCCGGTAGGAATGTCGGGAGCGGCAGGAGGGAGCTGTGATGGGATGAGGAGCAGCCTCGGTGGCGCTTTCAGAGCCACCATCCGATGTCACGGTTTCGGTTGCCTTTCCGGGCGGTGACAGAGCTGAGCTCCGGCTGCTCTGCGGTCGGGACAGCGCTTGTATCTCTCTGTGGTTTCTTAGATCTCGACGGGGCCCTGACAGATGTTATGTCACAGGCAGCAGCAGTTCCTCCGCCTGCCGGCAGATGTGGGCACACCAAACAGGTTAATAATTCCCGTGTCCCACGGCAGGACCATCTCCATCTGGGATGGGAAGGGAGCCACTGCCACCCGCCAAATGCAGCCGGGAGGGGACACATCCCAGGAGCCGCGTGTCGGAGCGCAGGAGTGTGCGGGGCCACGTGCTGGGGCAGGTGGGGATCGTATAAAAACTGATTTTCCACGGGCACTGCTCCTTGGAAGGAGAAGTCCCAGCCCCAGGATGAGCCTTGGGGCAGCAGGGACAAGGCTCAGCTCCAAATGCAATTGCTGCCATGGAGAGGAGATGAGGGGGACACCCGTGGCCTTGCTCTGCACCCCTACCTGGTTCTGGGGCATCAATAAATTAGCCAGGCCAACAGGCTCATTGCAGCTCTGGAGCATGTGCAAGATGGGAGTAGCACTAAATAACCCCTCTCCCCATCTCCAACAGTGGGAGAATCCCTTGGTAAACTCCAGCTGAGCTTTAGTCCCTTGCAAAGCCTGAGCACCTTTGCTGTGCTGGTCCCAAGTGCCACCACCACGTCTGTGACAACTCTGTGGTGTCAGGCAGGTGGTTCATCTCCAGCTCCTGCTCATGAGGGTCAGAGTCCTCAGTGTCCCCAGGACATCCCCAGCCCCAGTCCCAGCCCCAGGAGGATGAGTTAGAAAAGCCATGGACATTTGTTCCTGCCAGAGGGTCCCTGGCACAGCCCTGGAGTCCCCCCTGCAGCCCCCCATGGGGACACCCCGGTGAAGGGGACACTGTGGGGAGGCAGATCCAACACACCCAGACACTGGCAGGTCTCTGAGTGCCCCACACAGACCCACGAGGTGTTTTGGGGAGGAAGGTGGGAGCAGAGCAGCCCTGCAGCCCCTGGCACAGCACTGGGGCCACAGGGGTAGTGAGGAAATCCCGGGAACACGAGCTCGTGGTGCCTCGTGAGCAGCAGCTGGGCTGGCACTGGGCAGGAAAACACCCCAGGGAACCACAGTGAGCTGGCAAACTGGGTGGCAAAAGGGGAAATGCTCCCTGGGGCAACCAGGGGAACACATCTTGTCATGGCAAATGCAGTGCCAGGGGCCTCTGGCAGACACACCACGAGCCCCTGACTGGGCACAAGGGACTGATGTCTCTGGCACAAGAGCTGGTCCCTCTCCCCTCCCCGAGCAGGGGAAGCTCCTGCTCTGCTCTCTGCACCCCACCTTGTCCCAAACCCACCCTGGCACCTGGAGGAGATGCAATTTGTAGAGTCAGCCCTTGGAGTTGGGATTCCCAGGCGCTTCCCTCAGTGGGGGTGTTGGGAGGGGGTTGGATGCCCTGAGCTCCACACTGGAAGCTCAGCATTGAGGGGTTTGTGATCTTTATGGTGCCAAAACTGCCAGCCCAGACCCACAGCCAATCTCCAGGGTGCCAGCCACCCTGGCTGCCTGCACAGGCAGCACAACTGAGTGTTCCTGCTGCCCATGCTGCCCACACTGTCCCCCTGCATCCACCTTGGGCACCTCCCACCCACCACCAGGGCAGGGATCCCCTGGCCAGACCTGCACTGTCCACAGGCCATTTTGAAGGTCTCAGCACCCTTGTCCTCCATGCCTGCATGCCAGAATGAGCTGAGGTCCTCCAGGTGCTCCAGGGAGGATGCTGAGATCAGTTTGCTAAGCTCAGTTCTCCTGCTGGATGGTCACAGTGTGAACCTGCTGCTCAAGGGTGATTTCACATCCTGTCTTGGTCAGCGGGTGCTGATTTTCTCAATCTTACCTCCCCTCATATCAATGCTATTCTTGTATCTTCTAGATCAGCTGTTTCCTTTTTTTTTTTTTTTTTCAGCATTTCTCAGGCAAAGGTGCCATGACATCAGCTCTTGGAAATTCCGAGTGATTGATTAAATATCTGACTGACTGGGCTGGCCACTGTCCCTATAAAAGCAAGAGCTGAGCCAACACCTCATACCAGGCACAGGAGGAACCTGCTCTGGTCTTGCCTCTGCACCTGCAGCTCATCTCTGTCCAGAATGAAGGTCTCCGCCCTCGGCCTCTCCATCATCCTTATCTTTGCCCTCCTTTCTCAGGTGTCTCTTGCTCCATGTGAGTATAGCATCCCTCTGCTCTCTTGGGGTGGATTTTTGCTCTGACTGTCTTTAATTTTGGAGCAGAACTGGAAAAAAATTCAACTGCAAAGGCTGGAAGCCTGTGTAGATATCTTCTCCTGTGTCAGTGGCACTGGTCTTCCTTTCTATCATCCATTTACATTAGGAATGAATTTTACTGGTTTCAAAATTTTCAGCTTTCATCTCCCCTGATTTTTTTGCTGGACTTCAGAATTAATCCCAGGGTAACCAAAGGGATTTTTATTATGGGAATTAAGACATTTAAGAAACAGTCCCAGCAATGGCACTAATGAAGCTTTGGTGTTCACAGCAACTTCCTGCTGATTTTCTGGGGAAACAGCAGGAGAAGTGGCTGCCCAGGTGATTAAGGGGTTTGCCCATGCTCTCAGCTGGGGAATGTGCATTTTTTGAGTGATGGTCTCAGGCTGGATCTCCTGATCTCTTCCAGTGGGGTCTGACACCACTATCTGCTGCTTTGGCTACATCCCACGGAAGCTGCCCCGGAATCATGTGAAGGAATATTTCTACACCAGCAGCAAGTGCCCTCAGCCAGCAGTTGTGTGAGTACCAGCTCCTGCTCTGAACTCTCAGGGAGGGCTCTGCCAGCCTTTGGGTTTCCCATCCAACGGGACCTGGAGGAAGGGGATGGGGCAGCCACCCAGGTCCCACGTGCAGCTTGTGAGCCCTCACCACCCTCAGCTGGGAAAGGAGTGGTCCCTTGGTCTCCTTGGACCATCCTGGTTCTGGGAATAAGGTGTGGGAAGGAGATGAGGAGCCAGCAGCACCTTGCAGTGGTGATGAGTCCAGTGCACAGAAGGATCCAGGCTCATTTCTGCATTGGAACATCCAAGAATGGGGGGGTTCTCCCAAGGGACCTTGATCTCTGCCTGCCCCCTGGGTTTTAGCAGCTCCCTGATGCTTGGGCCTTTGTGGGAGATGATCCCAAGAGGTGATCCAGGTCCCTCATGGTCCCTTTTCTGCCTTGGCAGGTTCATCACCCAGAAGAACCGGGAGGTCTGTGCCAACCCTGGTGCCAAGTGGGTGAAGGAATACGTGGACAGCCTGGAGCTGCAGTGAGCCCTGGGAGCTCAGAATTCCTGCCAGTGCACCTGGCAGAGCTTGGCACGCACCTAGAAACGCTGCTGCTGAGCACCAGCACCTGCTGAGCCACCTTGGAAGCCCTGAAGTTCCTTTTGCCTTGCAAAGGGGTCATTTATCCACGACAAGTCAGCCACTCTTGGGACAGCTGTGCTGCTGGGGACATCCTGGCCTTGCAGACCAGGAGGTGGGTGACCTGTGGCTAAACTGAGCCCCCCTTGTGCCTCTACTGCTAGAATGGGAGGGGAATTTCACCCCCAGAGCTCTCTGTGGGCAGTGGTCTGTTGGAATTACGTCTGAGTGCTGTCAGCTAAACCCAAGCTGAGTTCTCAGGTCGGGTGAGTTTTGTCACGGCTCAGTACGTGCTGTGAGTAAGATCTGTCTCCCCAGGGCAGGAAGTGGTACCCTGGTTACTTACAGGATGCTTGTTGTGGAACCACATTGTTCAGCCTTGTTCTCAAATCTCTGTCTCCTGCCAATGCCAAAGAAGTCGTTTTCTCTCTGTCTCAGCTCTGGTTGTTCCTCTCCTGCTTGGAAAACGGGGCCAGTAAGGACCCCACTGCAACTACGTGGGGAGATCGAGGGAAGAACCCAAACTTCCCAGCTGGGAGGGCCTCAGAATCCTTAGCCCTGAAAGCCTTCCCTTCTGCCTGTCCTCCTGCTCTTGGAGCAGCACCATCCCAGCACTGTCCCTTCCCAGCCCCTGCTCTGATGTGCAGACAGAACTTCCCCCAACCCTTCCCCTTTCCTTTCCATCATATTGGAGCCGAGGCTGGGAGCTGGTGGGGCTTTCCCACTGCTCTCCAGCCGGGACCATACCCCCAGCACAGGCTCCTCTGGGAATGCAGCCTGAGCCAGGCTCGGCTCCGGGGATGATGCTCCGTTAGTGTTTCATTTCAAGACAGGCACCAATTCCCTTTTGTTCTGCAGCTTCGTGGGGGTAGGAAGCCTGAATTTGGTATAAAAAAAAAAAAAAAAAAAAAAAAAAAAAAAAAAAAAAAAAAAAAAAAAAAAAAAAAAAAAAAAAAAAAAAAAAAAAAAAAAACACAAGAGACGTTTTACATCAAGGAAAACCAGCACAAGCGCTTTATCAGCCTGTGGTTGCCATTTAAAACTGACTGATAACTTTGTGGGTAGAGACCGAAACTGCTGCTCCCCCCTCCCTGTGCTGGGGCTCTGCAGGGCCACGGGGACTGTTTGGGGTTGTCTCCATCAGAGTTGGCTGAAGCAAAAGCCCAGAAGCTTTCATGTCACCCCCTGGTCAAGAGTGTCCCACCTGGCTGCTTGTGCAGGTCAAGTCTTCACCTCCCAGGATATTTTCCATCCTTTTCCACTCCATCAAACCCTGGAGCAATTCCTCAAGCCCTCCTCATCACCAGCAATAAATTACCCCCCCATAATTAGGGCCAAGCAAATGAGTGGGAGATAAAATGTCTATCAAACAACCCCAAGCCCTGTGGGTTCCATAGTGATTTGCAGATATTCAGGTTGTCTCCTGATCTCTCCTTGCTCATCACCACCTCTCCTGTTAATTAAGCAGCATTTCCTGTTGCAAGGAGCTCAGCTCTCTATTTCTGGCAGGACCCAAGGCCTGTAGGGTGGGCAGGGAGCTCAGAGGGAGGGGAGAGGGTCAAGCTTCTATTTTCCATCCCTGCAAAGCAGCTCCGTGGCAGAGGGGACCCTGGGACACAGCCTGGCAGTGCTGCTGTGCAGGGAAGCAGGGAAGGGATCAGCCAGGTCTCCCTGAGCATGCAAACAATCAACCAGTGCTGGTGTTGGTTTGTTTTCACACCGTGGCTATTTGAGCACTTCACAGAGAGCTTTTAATCACAGCTACCCCTCAATCACAGGGGGGAAACTGAGGCACAAGGTCAGGCTGGGTGAGGGGGGTAGAGGGGGCCAGAACCCCCCATGAGAACCACAGAGCCATGACAAACAAGAGGAAATCAGCCCACAACACCAAAATAATTCATTTGGAAGAACCTGGGCTAGCCCTGAGCTCCCAGAGCACTGGGGGACCAGGCAGGGGTGGCCATGGCAGCATGTCCCCAAAACATTAACAGATGCCTTCATCCAGACAGAGCCAGGGGCAGGGCAGACCTGGTGGTTCTCCTGGGGGTGGAGAAACATCATCGGGAAAACTTGTGGTGGGGAAGGAATGCAGCAGGGCTGGGGAGTGTCCTCTGTGTGATCTCTGTCTGGGGCAGGGACAGCCAGCCCAGGGGAGGTGCTGGGACACCAGAGAAGGTCCCTGGTCAGACCAGGCTCTGCCTCAACTCGCTGGTGGCTCCAGTGGGGAGGAGAAGGGCCACAGACCACAGACCCTGGTGGCCACTGTGGAGCCTGTGGTTGGTGGCCCCTGGGCAGGCACTGTCTGGGAGCTGCTCTGCTGCACACTGAGCTCAGCTGGGAGCTCTTCCTCACCCGTGCTGGGGTCCTGCACCCCAAAGGACACTGGGAACACCCTCTCATCCTCCCTCCACAGGGCTCATCCCATCATCGGGGTGGGAAGGTCCTTCTCAGCCATCTCTCCTTGCCAGGACAGAGCCATGGCCAATCCCAGAGAACACCCCAGCCAGCCCCACTCTTGGTGCCAAGACAGGGGAGGATTTCTGGGGCAGAGCCAAAGGCCCCCTGCCCATGGAGGAGCCCGTCCCCACAGAGCTGCTGCACCTGCTGGGGGGTACAAACAGTCCTTCACGTGCTTCCTGCAAAACTTCTGCCAAGGGGATGTGAATCAGCCTGTTCCTCAGGCATTCCAGGTCCATCATGAGCCTTTCTTCCTCCAGGAGAGAAAAAAAAAAACAACCCATGTGTTCCCAGGGCTTCTCCAAGTGAAGATGGGAGGGAGGGGAGAGCCACAGGGTTCCTGCTCTCAAACAGACCAGAGACAACCAGGCTACCCAGTGCTCTGCCCATGGCACCATGAGGGTCTCCAGACCTTCTGGTGCCTCTGCCACAGCAAGCACTGAAGGAAAAGCCCTCTGAGTCCAGCACTTGGAAACCGAAACCAGAAAGGTTGGAGAGGGAAATTCCCACGAGTGCCTGGGCACATGGCCAGGGACTGTCTGGAGAGGAGCCAGCTCTGCAGCACAGAGTCCTCTCCAGCCTGGGATAAACCCCAGACACCCCCAGAATTCCCTGGTTCCCGGTCATCCATCCTCCATCCCCTCTCAACACACAGGGTCCCTTTCACTGGGATGCTGCTCCTTGCATGCCCACGAGCCCTCCTGCCTGCAGCAGCTTCCCAGCCTGGGAAACACAGGACTGGAGAGAAATCACAGGACAAACGTGGAGGTGCTTTCCCAGCCTCAGAGCTGCCAAATCTCATTTAGAGCTGCAGGGGGGAAAAAAGATAAACACTGAGAGAAAGCAATTTTTTTTTTGCCTTAGGATGAAAAACAGGATAAAGGCAAGGCCAAGGACAGTTGTGGACTGAGCTGTGGGGGAGTTTGAAGGGGGTCTGTAAGAAAGGTGGGGACAAACTTTTTTGTTGCTGGAGGACAATGGGGAATGGTTTTAAACTAAAGGAGGTCAGTTTAGATTGGATGCATGGGAGAAATTCCTCCCTGGGAGGGTGGGGAGGCCCCGGCACAGGTTGCCCAGAGGAGCTGTGGCTGCCCCATCCCTGGGAGTGTCCAAGGCCAGGTTGGATGGGGCTTGGTGCTTCCTGGGCTAGTGGAAGGCGTAGGAGTGGAAAAAGACAATCTTTAAGGTCCCTTCCATCCCAAATCCTTGTGGGCTTTCTCAGAGTACAGAGGAGCACAGAATGATCCCAATGGACAAGCTGTGCCCAGCACTGAGCTTCCCACCTTGGGACCTGCTCCTTCCCATTCACCGTCCCATGGAAAGATGCATCTTGAAAACAGCTCCAGCAGGTTTGCTGCTGGTTGTTTCACCCCTGCAGCACAGCTGACCCCTTCCCTTTGTTTTACAAGTGGGAAAGTGAGGAACAACCCCCAGTGGTGTGGTCAGAATGAAGGCTGGGGTTCCCTGCCCCTCTCCAGGCAGCAGTTCCAGGTTCAGCACCACTGCCAAGGGGCTGGGCAGAGAGGGGGTGATGTGTCAGAGGAACAGTGAGCAGAGACTGGAGGCCTCTGACAGTGTGTAGGTGGGTGCCTGTGCTGGGAAACTGCTGCTTCACCGGCAGCACTGCAGGGCAGGGCAGGGAATTGCCTGGCACGAGGAACTCATGGGCCCCCCTGGCACCTGCCAGCTCTAAGGGCACTGCAGCAGCTCCATCCCCTCTGCTTCCCCCATATGAGCCTCTCTCCCTGCTTCCCCCCAAAAACTCTGGCAGGGTTTTACCCTTGGTATGTCCCATGACCACCCCACTACACACCCAGGGAGCAGTTTGAGGGGGGAGGTTGTGGGGCTGGGAGTGTTTGGGACGTGCCTGGGGTGTGTGGAGAGCAGAGTCACGTACGTGAAAGTCCCACATGTGGGTACAAACACATCTAATTCTGGAGGGGATGTGGAAAGTGGGGGTGCATGTGGTCTCAGAGGATATTCATGTGTCTGCAGGATGGAAACTTTACGGGTTTGCCTCAAACCATTTCCCATCTTCACATGTCACGGTGAGGCTCAGGGAGACATTCTGCCTGATGCTGTGACACCACAGAGAGGCACAGAAAAAAGGAAAGAAGCAGAGGTTTTGTCCAAACTCTTTATTTTCCAGAATCATGACTTCACATGTGCAAACCAGGGCCACTCATTGTCCAACACTGGCTCGCCATCCTATAAATAATCCTCCCTGTCACCCTCCCATAAATTACCCACAGAAAAAAAAAAAAAAAAAAAAAAAAAAAAAAAAAAAAAAAAAAAAAAAAAAAAAAAAAAAACACCACTGTTTACCCCACATGATAACTTCATAAATAATGTACTAGAACTTCAATGCAACCAATAATACCATTTCAAATAACATAACAAAGATGCAGCCCCCTGGGCCTTCCCAGGCCACCAGTGGAGGGTCAGGGCAGAGGGACGAGGTTGAGGATGAAGCTCAGGGTGAGCAGCAGCAACCCCAACACGAGGTATCCTGGGGTGTCCTTCCAGCAGTCCCTTGGGGACACCTGCAGATGCCATGGGTTCCTGAAGCTCCCATTGTCCCTGCTCCGTGGTTGGGGCTCGGGATGAGGTGATCTGTGCAGGACAGCAGCTCCACCTGCCCTCTTGCCTGGCTCAGTTCTGC